TTGAGGGCAGTTTAGCACACGTTTTGGCTCCCAAGAGGGCACTTGAGGGCAGTTTAGCACACGTTTTGGCTCCCAAGGGGGCACTTGAGGGCATTTTAGCATGCGTTTTGGCTCCCAAGATGGCACTTGAGGGCAGTTTAGCACACGTTTTGGCTCCCAAGGGGGCACTTTAGCATGCGCTTTGGCTCCCAAGGGGAACTTTAACACGTGTTATGGCTCCCAAGAGGGCACTTGAGGGCAGTTTAGCACACGTTTTGGCTCCCAAGAGGGCACTTGAGGGCAGTTTAGCACACGTTTTGGCTCCCAAGGGGGCACTTGAGGGCAGTTTAGCACACGTTTTGGTTCCCAAGGGGGCACTGTAGCACGCATTTTGGCTCCCAAGAGGGCACTTGAGGGCAGTTTAGCACATGTTTTGGCTCCCAAGAGGGCACTTGAGGGCAGTTTAGCACACGTTTTGGCTCCCAAGAGGGCACTTGAGGGCAGTTTAGCACACGTTTTTGCTCCCAAGAGGGCACTTGAGGGCAGTTTAGCACACGTTTTGGCTCCCAAGAGGGCACTTGAGGGCATTTTAGCACGCGTTTTGGCTCCCAAGATGGCACTTGAGGGCTGTTTAGCACACATTTTGGCTCCCAAGGGGGCACTGTAGCACGCGTTTTGGCTCCCAAGAGGGCACTTGAGGGCAGTTTAGCACATGTTTTGGCTCCCAAGGGGGCACTTGAGGGCAGTTTAGCACGCGTTTTGGCTCCCAAGGGGGCACTTGAGGGCAGTTTAGCATGCGTTTTGGCTCCCAAGGGGGCACTTGAGGGCAGTTTAGCACACGTTTTGGCTCCCAAGGGGCACTTTAGCACGCGTTTTGGCTCCCAAGGGCGCACTTTAGCACACGTTTTGGCTCCCAAGGGCGCACTTTAGCACGCATTTTGGCTCCCAAAGGCGCACTTTAGCACACGTTTTGGCTTCCAAGATGGCACTTGAGGGCAGTTTAGCACGCGTTTTGGCTCCCGAGGGGCATTTTAGCACGCGTTTTGGCTCCCAAGGGGGCAGTTTAGCACGCATTTTGGCTCCCAAGGGGGCACTTTAGCACGCGTTTTGGCTCCCAAGGTGGCACTTGAGGGCAGTTCAGCACACGTTTTGGCTCCCAAGGGGGCACTTTAGCACACGTTTTGGCTCCCAAGATGGCACTTGAGGGCACTTTAGCACGCGTTTTTCAACAATTGCCCCATAACATTAAATTAATCATTTGAACAACACTAACCCTTTTGTTCATTTTAAATAGCTCATTTTACCAACATTAGCTAGCTTCTCTACCTTTACCATAAAATGACAACTCAACCGTTTGGTAGAGAACTTTTTGAAAAAATTATTTGACCCTTATAAGACTTATTTTTGTTGAATTAAGTTACATAATTCTGTTTAACAACTCCTCTGAAACGATAATATGTCAACAAAATAATATTACCTTTGAAAGTCCCGCCGATATGCGTCATCAAAGGATGGGTGAATTTTCGCTATGTCACTTCCTGTTTGAAGGAACGCTGAAAAGGCATACTGCTCACAGACACAGGGCCATGTAGTGGATTTTTTTAGCATTGCACAACTACACCAAAGGGTAGAGATGGCTCATTCAGGTTGAGTTAAGCTTGATGCATTTTTCAATTAAATATAGTGACTTAAAGTGTGGTCTACCAAATGGTTGAGTAGTACCTTAAAGGGTTAAATTAATATCGAGTCGAATCAAATCGATATCGAATCGAATTGTGACCTAGAGAATCAAAATCGAATCGTGAGGTTCTTAACAATACCCAGCCCTAATGCATACAAGTGCTTTTTTTTGGTTTGGGTTGGTTATGGGCAGAATATCAGGTTAAGCCAGTCAGAGTAAGAGTAGAACGGGTGTGATGACTAGGGGTGTAAAAAAAAAAAGAGAAATATTGTATTGTGATCTTTGTGTGTTTAATCCCCCAACCACTAGATAGCAAACCTTATTCAACTCAGATTTTATGCATATTGTGATGTGTTCCTTATACTATGAAATGTTTTCTTAAAATTAGATTTTTTTTATTAAATCACATCAAATTTATCGCCAAGCATACAGTATCATAATATATCACAATGTATTGAATTGTAACCCCTGTATCGTGATACGTATCGTATTGCCATATTCTTGCCGATACACAGCACTAGTCCTGACTTCACATGACTTTCTTGGGAAAATATGGTGAAACAGGACATTGCTGGGAAATAGCATCGAGTGAACAGTCAAAGAGAAGAATGATAAGCAGTTAAAGGAGAGAAAAAATACAAAGTTCACCACCAATCATGATGCGCAAAGAAAAAAGCTGCAGATAATTGGTGACAAGCTGTGATCAGCTTGGCTCTTAATTGACTCACTGTGGATTAGAAGCTGGGGTTTCTGCTTTACCCGCCAGCCAGTCTCAAACTGGAGCAGGCTGCACAGTCTTTGTAGAGGTGGCCGACAGTGACAGATGGGAAATAAGGTATTGTGTGAAATAACATGTAGTACTATATTATCTGCTGTATATTTCAGGTTCAGTGTTCAAAGCTTTATTTGTTGCATGCAGTGTATTTATTCTCAGTGTGTTACGACATCACACCATATGCATGAAGTGCAGCTTCTTGCAGCTGTGCTTTCTGTACTGCTGTTTGTGTGTCATGTTAGAGAAGATAACTGTAGCTTATTATATGTGTGCCCTTCCTCTATTCCCCATCATTTCCAAAAACACACTTCTTCATCATTCAGCTTCACCATGAGGCACAACCAATTAGGGCTGCATATGGTCCAAACATCACATTGCAATTGCAATATGATTTGCAGTTAGCAGGAATCCTCATATAGTGCTCCTCCTATTTCTACAACATGCTAACTGTCACCAACAGGACAAAATTCACACGAATCACCAACACAGCGGACAGATAATCAGACTCCCCACACCCAATCTCACAGAACTAAACAACAGGGCCATCTCACGCATTGCAACCACAATAGAACTGGACATTACACACCCACTCAATCAATATCTCACCCCACTGCCTTCTGGACGGAGGTACTGAACACTGAGGTTCAAGAAAGCTCGCTATGGGAAAAGCCTGATCCCTGCAGCTATTGCTGCTCTAAACAAAGGGGCGTGAGTGTGTAACCTGTCATGTATTATTTATTCGATTGTTTGTTTCTTTTTTGTTTTTGCTTTGTTTTTTCTGAAGATTTGTTAATTGTGGATAGTGTGTTTCTTTGTTGAGTGTATGGTGTTGCCTGCAGGTGCAGTGATGTGGACATGAATTTCCCCCTTGGAGGACAATAGATTGAATTGATTGATTGATTGATCATTTTTGCATCACAAATTTACGAAGCTTGAAGCAAACAAACCGGTTTTCTTACATTGGAGAACACGATTTGTAGGCCAGGGCATCTCCTCAGAACTGCAGTACAGTTATAATGCTGTTTGTCACCCAATTTACATTTATCAAAAAATTGCAGCTGCTGCGATTTGCACATTGCACTGGGCCACATTGCGATTAATTGTGCAACCCTACTACCCATTTCCATCTCCAACTACAGGACTGAAGGGGGTGATACTCTGTGCCTAGACCCCTATAGCAAGGGGACCACATTTAACCACAGACCTTATTTCAGGCATCTAACAAAAAAAAACACATTCAAATAACACATTATCTTCTACACAGGGAAACCAGAGGGGCCAAACTCATTTCCAGGTTTTAGGACTCATTCACAAGCAGCTTTTGTGTCTAGTTGTGCAGCCCAAGGAGAGAGACAGAGAAAGGTGTACTGGATGGAGAAGGGTTAAGTTAGCAGTTAGCTGTGAATATAATATGAATGTTTGGTTTAGGCTAAAATCTTTCAGAACATAAATGCTACAACTTCTCAAGAACCAAGCAGTTCCTGAGTTTTGTTTACCAGCATGTGAAAACAGTGTTTAGCCTTTAAGCTTGCTACAACATCTGCCCAAGTAAAGAAGATTAGCTTAGTCTTTGACATACAATAAATAATAACTTCATAATCTTGGATTGTTAGTCATGAATATTTAATGTTATACTTAAAGGACCAGTACGTAGGATTTAGTGGCATGTAGCCGTAACTAAATACCTCTCGCTTTCCAAGCGTGTAATTCCGGTGAAACTTTGGTGAAAACGCAAAAGGCCCTATCTGGAGCAAGTGTTTGGTTTGTCTGTTCTGGGCTACTGTAGAAACCTGTAGGTTGACAGCCTCCGTAGAAGAGGACCCACTTCCTCTGTATATATAAACAGCTCATTCTAAGGTAACAAAAACACAACAATTCTTATATTCAGGGTGATTATACACTGAATTATTGAAAACATACCTATGAATATTATATTCCATTTCTGCCAACACACAATACACAATAACACTGGACCTTTAAAATTTGAAGCCAAGGGTTCAGGGGCGTTAAATGTGAACATGCATGTGAATAAAACTTGTGATCAACTTGCTGTGCAGTAGCGTAACACCACATTTGCGATATTAACTTATTTTTTTTTCTCTTCCTTCCAAGCTTACAACTGACTGAATGACAACGACTGACTGAATGTAAAAAAAAAACAACTTTATAAACTATAGTTGAGGTTTTTAGACTGCCTTACCATTCAAGACTTTTTAAAAGCCTTCGTTCATTACAGTAAATAGCTGTGTGGAAATCAAAGTATACACTTGTGAATTTTCATATGACGGATGCTGTTATTTTTCTACAGTGGAAATGAACTTGAGGCTCCTAATTTATCCTGAATCTTTGTGCATTTTCATTGGTACAAGCAGAAACTAACCACTATATCTGCTCTGTGTAATGCACCAACATGCTCTCCTAACTGCCCTCTGCTGTGTTTGATATGCTGTTAGGGTTTGAAATTGTCTTTGGTGCATACTGATACATGTTCTGCTCTGTGTGTGTGTGTGTGTGTGTGTGTGTGTGTGTGTGTGTGTGTGTGTGTGTGTGCACCTGCCACTTTAGATGATGTGTTGGCGAGGGATGCCGGTGAGTGTGTGATCTGTCTAGAGGAACTGCAGCAAGGGGACACCATAGCCAGACTGCCATGCCTCTGCATCTACCACAAAAGGTGACACACAGACACGAACACACACACACACACACACCTACACACTCGCACACACACAGATTTGAATCACTGCCCGTTATATAATTTTGCACTTCTTCTAATTAAATCCACTCACTGCACTCCAATAAAAAAATTCCTTAAAGATGGACAGTACTTGTTGCCTTTGATTTAGAGGTTATTCATATAATATCATTGGACAATAAAGGTGCTGTGTGTAGCTTTTCTAAACTGTCAGATTAACTAACTGATAGCTCAGAATAATTACCATAAACAAATGAGAGCTGCTAGTTTTTCCAAAAGTCTTATAGATGAGTGTGCATTACCCATCAACACTAGTGTTTCCTGTCACAAGTTGGATGTTGCTTCTTCAGTTTTTTTCCATTGGTTTTAACGAAAAACACAAACGCACTAAATATGTCTGTTACTTAATTGATAGATTTTGATTGGTATTTGCATAATATTGCATTAGTATCCTGGATTTCACTGTGACTAAGGGTTTTACAGGATACCTTGATCTGCTTCACAACCCTTTATAAGTTGAAAGAAATCCCAATTTTTAGATGCTTTACATTAAGTATTTCCATTTTAATGCCACTTTATATTTCTACTTCACAACATTTGAGAGAGAAATTGTGTAATATTTGCTAAACTGCATGTGTCTGACAGTCAGTGTAATATTGCAGGTTAAGACTGATTGGATTTCACACATACATGTATGATGGATGCGTTGCTACTACAATTCGAATGTGCATTAGCATTCTGGTTATTAGCAGAGGTTCTTCCAAACATTTTGGATGGCTTTATCTACCTTAAAAAACTATTTTGGTTTAAAAGGTCCAATCCATTGTATGTTAGCCATTTCTAAGCTAGCATTAGCTAGTGTGTCACACTGTTGATACTGTGGGCAAACGGAGAGATGAGACACATTCTTTGGATCTTACCAGAAAATGTGACCTGCGTCCCTACACAGCAACAAAAAACAGTCCAAAGGCAACCAAGAAAGTCGGGGAAGGTCTTGGTTTAAGTTACGTTTCAACTTGTTCACACATTGGCAATAAAGAGAATCTTACAAATGACAAATCGAGCAACATTCTGAATGGAAGACTTATACTTGTAATGGTGGTACGGCTGCTTTTACTGAAGTTAATGACCTTCTTCTTTGTATTGCACACCAATAGTAACGTAAGTAATGTTGTTGAACGGTTCCATAAAATGCAGTGAGGATGTGACGTTTAATGCACATGTGAGTGTGCTGTAACACTTCTGTTTTCCACTGGGTCTCATTTATATATTGTATATTGCGAATGTTCTGATAATGTGGGAGTGCATGGAGGCCTTCCAACAAGCCTACGTGTTACTTTAGCAACAATCCTCTGTAGTACTGAATCCATTTAATACTACAGTGTGATTAAATTCTTATCTTGTGATTGGTTTGACGGAATAACTCAATGACTGTGTGTCTATGTGTATCTGTAGCTGTATAGACTCTTGGTTTGAGATCAATCGATCCTGCCCTGAACACCCCTCTGACTGACTGACCACTATGGCCCACTATGAATACTGTTCAAGGTGAGACACACAGCACATACACACTACTGTCTGAATACTAATTATTGCAAAATACCATTGAGCAGGTAAACCACTGTACAGAAGCTCATGTTGGCTTTGTATTAAAATTCAGATGGGGTCCAGTCCCTGTCTTCCTCTGCTGATATGATGGACACAAATTAATTGTAGAACTGATTATTGCTCTGTAGGGGAAGACTTTAAACATCATTTTGGAGATGAACATTTTAAATACTAATATGTATTCATTTGTACAACCCCTTTCTAAGGCCAAGCTACAAAGTGCTTTACAGTGCAGAAACGAGATAAAACCAGCTCCAATAAAACATAAACACAGAATAGGAACATATTAATACTGTCTACAGCCATGCCCTGTGACGCTGTAGGCCTACTTAGAAATAACCATGCTTTGAGAAGGATGCTAACATTAGCATGCTAACATCAGAATCCCAATGTGAATGAATGAATGTTTAACAGGGGTGTTTACAATATTCACAGTCTTAATTTAACACATTAGCATGCTGAACTGAAGATTAGCACTAAACATAAAGTTCAGCTGAGGCTGATGATCGTTTAAAAGGATACAGAACAGTGTAATGTAGGTATTTGGTAATAAACCAAAAGTACTGGGTAAATTAAAATTTTGATCTGGTGATCATGCAATATGAAAAGTTAAGGGATCACCAAATTTAATACATTTCTCATTGGACCTTTAAATAATTAATACAGTAGTTCATAATAATCATATATATATATATATATATATATATAACAGCGAATATTATAAATAGAGAAACATTTAAAATGAGTACAGTGACTAATAGAGGCCACAAGATGGCAGTAATGTCTAAGCCAGAACTACTAGTGTTACAGAGAAATGTGCAGTTCAGGAAATAACTGACATGAGACTTTGCTAGCACCAGAGAGAGAAAACAATGCACTGCCATTCCTGTAATTTTTGTAGAAGCTACAGTCAAGTCCCCACAATTCATTCTGAGATGGCATAGATTGATAGAAGGATACATCCTCTGGCCACCATGAATGTATACAAATCTGTGTCTTATGTCTTTGTCATAATCCAGCCAGAAGAGGATGAGATATTTCACAGGATAACAAGTGAAATGTTGGAACTGAGGGAGAAGTCAGGGGATCACTAAAGTCTTGAGGGTTCATCCTCTGGGGACCATGAATATCTGTACAAAATCTCCTGGCAATATAGTACTTTTGAGATATTTCAGTCTGGACCAATATGGTGGAGCTACTGACCAACAGAAATCATCACCCAAAGAGCTACACTGCTAGCGTGGTTAAAAACCTACATATATTTGGTGGAGTAATATTACTTTTAAAGAAATTAAAAACTGCCCCTACCCCAAAATTCCACCGGGCACAGCTTTATGATGTTGTATGTGCGACATGGTTTGACTCTGTGATCCGAGTAAATTCAGAGCGTCTCACCTGCCTGACGTTGTTGACTTGTGTACTTCGTCCTGTTTCTCCGCTTCAAATCTCCTCTGATCTGCCTCTGACTGATTTGATTCAGTGTCTGCTTGGGGTATTTTATTTTGAAAATTGACCAGATTCTCTATGCAGTTTCTGTGACATCCTGCCAATGTGATCTAACGTTGCTGATTGACGCCAGTGCTTCCGTAAAAAATACAGCGCTTTTGGTGGAATTGCGAGCATTGTCTAGAACGGACACGATCAGCTCCGGCGACCACAGCACAGCTGGCTGTGCTCGGTGGAATTTGGGGTTAACACTTATATACAGATTCTGTATAGTGTCTGTAAAATTACACAAATTATTGCCATCTAAGCCACTGAAAACATTTTTTATCAATTAATATGTTGCTTCATAAATCACAAGTCACGCATCATTTTCCCCTCTCTGTCTGTCTGTGCCCCACCCCTCCCTCCTCTCTGTCTCCAGGACATCTGGATGTCCTGCCATGGATATCTGGACACAGACGCAACCAAATCTGATGAAACAATCAAAGTGATCAACACATACTTATCCTGACAGAATCCACCATCCTAACAAAGATAATTATTCCTCGTGAACTGAACCAAAAAAACCTGCCCATCGTACATTAAAGGGCCCCTCCCGAGCCCTCCATTTAACGTCTGCTTACAACAACCCCTTCCCTGCCCCTCCTTCCCTCCCCTCCCACTTCTCCAGGCTAACAGAGTCCCTTGAAGGGTTTCATCGGCCTCAACCCCGCACCCCCCCCAACTCGAGTGGCCATTTGCCTCCCTGACGTGCTCAGGTCCTCGCAGGCCTCCAGCAGCTGGCCTTCCATCTTGGATCCAGGCCTGTCAGTCATTTGTGTCCAGCCCTCCCATGGCCTTAACTGGAGAGAGGAGAGGAAGCAGAGCAGGGAGCGGGCAGGAGGGAAGAGGAAGGAAACAACACGAGGAAGAAGGAAGACGAGGAGGAGGAGGAGTGGGAAGAGGAGGAAGAAATTGACGAAAGGAGAATTGTTGAGTTGCAGAAGCTTGCTTCAAGAAACAGACTTGTACATTATTTGGTGGGCCTCTCATCTCACAACAGGACTCCAACTCGGTGACATTACAGACTGGGTCCCGGTGTGCTTCTTTCTCATAGTTCCTGCCTCAGTTCTGCAGCTCTCCTCGCCAAATTTGACTCATAATAATAAAATTAAAGTACCCAAAATGCTTCTTAGATCCGGGTTGTGCACACCTGGGCAGGCAGGGAGGGATGGAGGGTTAAAAAAAAAAAAACAGAAAGATGTCTTGTGTGTACAGGATGGATCGGGGAGCGGTCTGAGCGTGCTCAGTTCTGATTAGGAGGGAGAAAGGGGCCAGCAGTGTAGTTTACGCTCCTACTGTGTAACATGTGTGTTTGGGATGCTCCAGTGTCAGGCTTCACCCGGTATGTGTATGTACACTGTGTGTGTGAGAGAGAGAGCTTGGAAACATAGCTTTTGCTGAAGCCTAGTCTGTGTGTGTGTGTGTGTGTGTGTGTGTGTGTGTGAGAGACAGCATGAAAGGTCAGTGTAGAGGGCTGACTGGAACAGTGCCGTGTGTGTGTGTGTGTGTGTGTGTGTGTGTGTGTGTGCTGTGTATTGAAATGTTTACAGTCTAGATGTCCATGTTCCCTGTGTGTGCGACTGGCAGTCCTCCCTTTACTTTGCTGATGTTTACAGCCACAGAGAAGCGACATGACATATTGTAAATGACACGTGTAACCTCTCTCGGTTCTTTCTTTTCAGATCTGCCAGATTTTTCATGTGATCATGATTAGTCATTTTCTCGTGAGAGCCTCGAGTGTCGAGAGCTTGCGTGTGTGTGCGTCTCCGTGCATATGACTGTTTGTGCGTGTGTGTGTGTGTGATTCAAGAGGCACTTCTTGGTCTATGCTACTGTCAGCCCCCCCCCCCACGTTGTGTTTCTGCTAGAGTAGGTCTGGCTGACTGCGACTGGAGACGTGAGCCACTCAGACCCTAAAAAAGGACTCTGTAGTCCCACTGTGGATCCACTGGACGGGGCTTATTTATTCATTTGTTCATATTTAACAATATTTGTTTGATATTCCAATCATGTGAGGTGTTAACTCACTCTTCAGAATGCCAAGAGCTGATGTATGAAGACTACTACAAATCAACATACAAACAAACTGCATTTACAAGCTACTGTAAACAAATGGTGGAATAAATTGTGCTAGATGACAGACTCCATTTTCAACTTTCATTCTGTGACCCAGCACTGGGTTTCCCATCGGAACATCTTAATCCTAAAATCATTGTCGGCCTATTAGATACACAATGTGTACAGTATGTACTATACTTGTATATTAATGGGACACGGTGTTACAGTTAAAGTCTCAGGAGAAATCCACCCTTGAATCGTCTCCCACTCTTACATCAGTCAGAAATGTTAAACGCCCTCCAGGAGTTATTTTGGGATTGAATGTGACGTATCCACTTTCTGTGTAATTTTATATCATATAGTCATTTTACTATGTGTCCCAGACTGCTGTTTGACAGTTAATAAGGAAGGGACTGTGTATTGTACTACTATGACATGCCGACAGACTAGGGGTCGCCAAAGCTTCACAGGGGTTTGCGAGGCCTTCTGCATTTAGGCCTATAGCTCAACATTTAGTTTATTTCTGTGAAGAAAACTAAATTAAATTGTTATTTCTAAAGTTTAGATTAGTATTTAAGATATAAATTTAAACTAATCTCACAGGATAAGGGCTCTCTGATAAACAGCCTTGTCCTGGTTTAGAAAAGTAAAACAACCAAGGAGCTGATAGAACAATGGGAAGGAAACACTGAATTTGTCAGAAAAGAAGCCCATTAAGTGTGTATGATTTTTAAAAATGCAAAAAATACTTAATACAGACATTGGTAATAAGTACCTTTCTGAAAATTAAAGGAATCTGCCATCAAACTCCATGATAGATACTTGAAATATCCCAATTTGACATCACTTTGTCAATGCTTGTTAAACATTCAATTTGAGACAGAAATGCATAAAAAAATAAGCAAAACAAGCTGCAAGTGTGGATTTCTCCTCTAACATTTCTTCCATACACTCTCTGATAAATAACGTTGAAACAGTCACAGTGGAAGGACATGCTAGTCCTCACTCTCGCACCCTTTACTGTTCCACCGTTGTAAGTCGGCGTGTAAGAGTTGGACTTAACTGCTAAGATGCTTTCAGGGAAACCCAGCCTTTGGGAGAATTTTCAGACCAGATCTTTAGTGTTGGCAGAAAATCACTGATCAGAGCTGAGAGCTTCCGGAAAGCTTCAGAGCACTACGACTATCTTTCCCTTTTACCAACAACAGATGCTACAGGATCTATCATCTTTTGTTTGGGGTGTAACTTGAGGAATCCAGTCAATACCCCTGGAACAACACTAAATTTTAATTCTTTTAATCCATCAATCATTGTAATTCTTGAGGTGTAACTTTTCACAAGTAAAATGATGGGCGGTGAAGTAACACCTTGCTTTTCTCCCTGTTTTATTTCTTCGTAGTCAATTTTATAGGTGTTAATACCATGCAAGAAGTGTGAAATTTAACACAACTGAGTGCACTCAACTCCCAAAGGGGCCTCTGTAGTGCTCTGAAGCTGACAGGAAAACAACCATTTACACAACACGGCTGCTCTGTGCTCATATTGCGCTGGTCACAAGTACTTCCTGTAAAAGATGGATGTTAAAGTTAGTAGTCCGTTTTGGGGACCTTTACCATGAGAGCCTTTTCATAAAACTTTACTTGAAGTGCATTTCGAGGCATTATAAAGACTGTGAAGATATGTATGTTAGCTTAAAGCTGCAGTTGTCGATGTTATTAGCGAAACAATGGATTCAGTGTAATGTGAAAGGGGTCGCTCATAACCTGCAAAGAATTATCACCCAAATCTTAGGTAGCTGTATTAAGTGAAGAGAGTCTGATAAACCCACTCTAAGCTACCCGCCCAGCACCAACCCACTATCAGACAAAGATAGCGACTAGCAGGGGAGTATAGCAGAGCATTTAGCAGCTAAAGAGCCAGATTTTACAGCTAGCTACGTTTGTTTTGGTTCACTCTCAGCGCTAACATCAACCTTGTTTCCGGCTGCAGCAGGATGTTAGCGAAAACCTTTGGATAAACTACCTGCCCAGCCCTTACAGCAGACCGATAACGTTAGCGACTAGCTGGTGAAGATTTAGCAGCTAAAGGGACAGATATTATACTCTGGGGCTAATTCAAAACCGAGCTAAAAGGAGAGAGAATTTTGGTCTTCCAAATGAAGGCTAAGGTTGTTTTGTGTCTGATGGACATGGAACCTAAATAGACAGCTCTTTGCTAACATGTTAGCCATAAAAAACGTATGTGATAATGTGTCAATATTGTTGTTTTTAGCCTGTTCTGCTACTCTCTAGTGACCATAAAAAGGAATGAATCAGAAGTTAGATGAATGCAGCTTTACATTACATTCAGAAAACAATTAGCATTAGAATGTATGGTGGTACAGGCCTGCATTAAAGCTACATTTTGCATGTAAAAGTACACCAGTGTTTTAGAGAAACAAAATGACAGTGGGTGGCAACAGAGAAAATAGCATATTAAACAGTAACTGAGACAATATTAACAAATAAAGTTCTTGCGTCAGGACATGATCATGTTTCCCCCAAACAATGAAGAACTGACTGACTTAAGAATAAAAAGTGAATCGCTTTGCTGTCCTTCATGCAGGCAGTATCCCACACTGGCTGGTTTGGTAAACATGAGTGAGCTTTGTGACTTCACTTTAGAGAATTTTTATGAATTCAATTTCATATCTTGTTAAACAGCTGCCTCTTGCAGCCATTTGGAGCGGCCATCATGTGACGATGTCTAATGCAGCTTTAGTGGAGTTTGAATGTGGTATTTCGGCAGTCAGTCACCCTGGAGTTTTCTTCCTCATCATATCACATCTAATATTAAAGCACTTGCGATCATAATGTGGTTATGATGCCTCGTGAGCACCACTTCAAATAAAGTGTTACAAACCTGTCAGTGCTGAGATCATCCCTGTTCCTTATTAAGGCTATGGCACATGTAGGGTTTGAGATGGAGGGCAGTGTTAATTTTAGCAAGCATGGGGACCAACATCACGGTGCATAACAGTAATATAAGAAGAATATAAGAACAAAAGAAGCCAAATAATAATGGTAACTGCTAACCTCATTGCCTATTTGTGTGACACACAATGTTCTCTGTATATCATGGCCTGCAGCTAATGGAGGGGGATGATCTCTTTGGGAAATGACATGCGCTTTAGTCTGGGTTGCAGAGTGAAAATATCAAATGAGTCTCTCAGACTGCTGCTACAGTCGACAGTAGGCCCACTGTACCGCCTGCCTGCCCACTCAGCTCGGACAAACAGCTACAAGAACAATACAGTACCTTCATTTACTATGGCTTTATTTCATTTGACTCCTTTTAGTTCATGACTTATTTTACTTTCTGAAGATGTGAATGGCTGCCTGCTTTTTGGGGGCGCCGACTAACATGTCTGATGACTTTGATGTGCAATCTGTGGGATGAGTAATAATAATGACATATATAATAATCTATAATATTAAAAATGTCAAAATACAAAAGATGACTGAGCTGTTCTTCCTGTCTAGATAGAGTGATGGTACCTTGACAGAAGACTACAGTATGGATTAGTTGTCATTTTCCATTCATCAACTGATAAATGTGATCAGGACAGACAGCAAGCAGGAAGGAGTAACAGAAGCATCTAGAATGTTAATTTGGTTCCCTTCTTTTTCCACTTTAATTCAATGAAAATGTTTTTTATTATCTTTATTTATTTATGCGTGTCTTTATTATTGTTATTATTATTATTATTATTGTTGTAGTTTCATGACTGTTACATACTCTTACAACAGCATACAAGAAGATTTACAATTTGTAATGGTAATATTCTGACCTCTAATGGCTGAAGTCGTAGTTGCATCCAACTTTCACTGGCAAAAAAGGCTAATTTAATTTTGTAAATCATTTCACTGTTGGAAACCATAATAATATAATTCAAAACCGCTTTAAGAAAACTTAACAAAACACTTAGATAACCCAAATTAAAATAGAAAGAAGGAGACAGCATTAAGGCAAACAACAGATACTGTGGAGTGGAATCGGATCGATTGCTCTGGTCTAGATATCACAGCCGCGCTCTGATTGGTCAACAGGTCCTGGCGCCAAAACAGCAAGGAGGAAGAGTTGACTTGTAAACACAGCCGGAGACATTTCTGCTCAATACCTCAGCACATATATCTGGTCTAAAACTACCTTTCGGCCTCATTCAGGCACAAAATGGATACGCATTCATATATGCCTGTACAGCCTGGGGTCGGGATGGAGGAGAATTTCCTGTCTCTCGACGATATTTTGCTCTCTCATGAAAGACTTCCCATCCGGACAGAGTGCGCTTTCCCCCGCCTGGGTTACCTGGAGAAGTCGAGTGACACACAGGACATACCGGAGGTTAGTAAAGTCACTGAGGGAAAATGTAGGAAACGTCGTGATAGTCACAGCGTTGTTAATGCTTTCCTTTAGAGAAACGCGCCTATCAGAAGTAGCGTTACACCTAAAGTAGTCCTGGTACATGACATCTGGTTGTGTAAAGAAAATGAAATCAAACCTTATCCGATATTTTGCAGTTTATTCTTACCTTTCTGTGTTGGTATTGGCACATATGTGGTAGAAAATGAAGTAAGACCCACTTACCGGCATACTTATTACCTACCAGAACTTCAACTGTTTTATTTTATTTTTTTAATTTGGTTTGCATGTAGGCTGCATTAAAGCTGCAGTAGACAACTTTCATACAAATATTTTTTGTCATATTCACTGAAACTTTAACTACATCCTGACAGTAGAACATGAGACAGATAATGTGTGAAACAATCAGGTTCCTCTGGTTCCTCCTAGAGCTCCTAATGGTATTTACAAGAATCCACCGGGCCTGAACCAAAACATCCAATCAGAGCCGAGAAAGATGATTGATTATTGATTATTGAGTCTCATTCCCAGGGTGTCAAATATTGATGCTCGGAATGAAACTCAACAATAAACTATCTTGGTTGATTTCACCAGGCAACAACCAATAGTGAAGATCATAAAGAAAATATATATATACACATATATACACACAGTTCATTATGGATACATAAAGTTACTCGAGATCATAATGAAATGTTGTTTGATATGTTGCCTGTTATGTATATAATGTATTTATATGTATTAAGATTTAGTTAGAGGTCTTTTTCACAGAAGGAAGAAAAAGCCTGTAATAAATAATAAAATAAATCCTGGCTGAATCTCTTTATCTCAGGGTACAAAGATGGAGCTCCCTCTGTGGCTCTCCAAAGGACTGTATGAGAGGAAGAGGAGAGTGTTGTCAGTTGAGCTTCCGAAGGTGTACAGAGAGGGCTGGAGGACCGTGTTCAACGCCGACCCCAACGTGGTGGACCTGCATAAGATGGGGCCCTACTACTATGGCCTGGGATCCCAGATGCTGCACTTCGATAGCCCAGAGAACCCAGAGATCGGACAGACGCTGCTGCAGGTGAACAACACGCACAAACAATAACACAGAAGAGTTCATTTAACATTAGAAGGCTACAGAATATGAAACCTCATCCTAATAGTATCTAGGTCTACACTGGGCAAGCATTAAAAAATAATAAATATTCACACCAGACAGGGGTCGTGGTTAAACACATTACACGTCATTTACAGTGATTCATTTACTTCATCAAGGACACAGCATGTCTCTGCACACCCTGTAATGGATGTATGGAAACTGTGTGGCTGTGACCTCTGGGAGGTGAGACAACCCTGCAGGAGAAGAAAAAGGTATTGGCACATATGAAGTAAATGCAGGGACATCATTTTGTAATGGTCAGTTTTCTCTTTGGTTATGAAATAAACTGAGTGGGGTAAAAAGTACTGTATTTGCCTCCAAAATGTAGTGCAGTGGAAGCGTAAAGTAGCATAAAATCGAAATACTTAAAGTACCTCGAACTTGTACTTACATACAGTACTTGAGTAAATGTAGCTAGTTGCACGCCACCAATGGTTATTCTAGATTTTGACACTAACATATTCATTTGTACTGTAAATGTATATCTGTTTTAAATATCGGTTATTGGTGTCCTTGATTACTAATAATTGGTATCTGTATCAAGTAATTGGTAGATCCTTACACAGTCCCACACATAACCTACTGTTACATGGCAAATTGTCATATTATAGTGTGTCAGTTAGTGAGCAGAGATGCTGATAGTTGAAGTTAGTTGCTTCTGGACAGAGCCAAGTTAGCTTCCAGTCTGTGTGCTAAGCTAAGCTAACCAGCTACTGGCTGTAGTCTTATATTTAAATCTTCTCATCTAATGTGACAGAGAGCAAACACACTTATTTTCCAAAATGTCAAACTATTCTTGTAACACAGTTTTGTTTCACTTGAAGTAAAGATGCGCCGATGCTGATCTTGATGTTTCTAATAACCATTTGGCTGCCTGTTTTGTTGTTATTTATTCACTCTTTTGTGCCAGGGAAACAAAAAAAACTACAAAGATTAGCATCTCTGCCTTGTTTGTTTGAGTTTATTCACAATACCACTTCAAACATTACAATAATACAATAATACAGTTGGGGTACAAAATCAATTGGGTAGAGGGAATGGGTCCCCCAAGGAAGCTAGGAAAGCTTATAGGTGGGGGCCCATGGTTCATGAAAGGGTAGTGGTACAGACAGTGGTATACACAGTTACCACCTGTAAGCAGATGATGACGAGTAAATGCACGCACAGAGCGCACCAGAACATACATAACATTACATACACATACAGTCATACACATACATCCCAGTAGTCCATGAGAAAACAGTTTTATATTAGATATAGGTTAATAGGAAATTATTTTTTAGTTGTCTTTTAAAGACTTTAATGTTGCATCTAAGTGTGTTTCTCTTCTCATCCAAGATGTGAGACTCAGAGCAGAACCGCCGCTCGCTGTCCGTGCGGCTGCATCGACCACATCTGTGTTTGCGTGCAATTCCTGCCAGTGCTGGAAAACAGCTGATTATATCTCCAATATCCGATACAACTGATAAACATCAGCCACTGTCAGACAACAAGGCGAATACCGGCCCAACATCAGTATATCTAGCTTAAAAAAAATAGAAAGTGATGTCAGCTGCATCAAGCAGACGTAACATTTGCTACACAGAAAGTGAGAGCACATATGAATTTTTTCCTTTTGTTTTTGTTTTGCAGAACCACAGGTCATAAATAATGATTTTAAGCTGTTGCTGACTTGTGAACACGCTTGAAATCCCCAAAACAGTTCTCTGGGTTTGTTTAAATGTATAAATAAATGTGTGGTAAAATAGAATATAAATAGATCTTGCACTGTACAACAGCCCTGATCAACAGACACAATGCTGAGTCAAAACAAAGGGAGCCAGTGTTATTTAATAGGCTACAACTAGGGGGTGCAATCAGATCAGAAAACATGGCAGACTACTGGTTGTCTGGTGCAGCCGTTACCAGGCAGATTGACTCTCTAATCTCACTGTCTGACAAACAGAGGGTTGTAACACACACCATAACTTCATAGCCGTACACACCACCAGGCTTTTACATACTTTAAATGGTAAAAATGCCAGGTATTTCTTCAAGTAGTGTGTTTATTTATCAAATGAGTGAACACAGACTTTGTTATGAAGACATGTTTACTACATCCAGCCTGCGTTCAGATGTACAACTGCTGGTGTTCACTACATTGACATAAATGATGCATAACTTTCTTTTCTATAGAGGCATTTTAAAATGCAGCCCAGGGACTGTGCTACGAACCAAAATAATCGAGGTAGATTGGGGGGGGCATTACAGCCACCACTGGATGCCACCAAATGCACACTAGACTTTTTAATGTAAAATACCTTTACTGTTGTACCATATTTAAGTATGTGCTCTCTTTCTTCTCATCTAACTGGTGGCAAACTATTGACATTGTCCTTTGTCCAGACCTTCATCGGCCGGTTTAGACGGACTATGGACTCCTCCCAGAATGCCTACAACGAGGACACGTCCGCACTGGTGGAGCGTCTGGACTGTCTGGAGAAAGCTCTGTTCCGGTCAGGGCAGAGCGGCCTCAACGGCTTCCAGAGCTGGGAGAAGGGCCAGGCCTCCCAGCTCACCGCCTCCAGTCTGGTGCTCAACTACCGTAAGAGGAAGATGACCGACGTGCAGCACTGACCTCTGCCCACAGCTAAAAAGATAACAGACACCGGTCAGAGAGCGCTGACTTCCTGTGGTTTTCCAATTCCACAGACAGACTTTCACATCCGAGCCATGCTCTCTGTGGTGTGGAGTATAAATGTGTTTCCTATTTATTTTGTCACATTGTTTCCACTGATGGTGCAGGAACTGATGATAAGTTGATCTATGAATATTCAATTTCCGTCATTTTGATTGCTGATTTGTTCTTTTTATCATACATCAAGTAAAGAACATTTAGCTGGTTGCAGTGTTACAAACAAACAATTGCTTGTTTATTCTGTTTTATGCCATTACAGATGGGTAACCTAC